TTATATATATATACAATTTAATCATTCATATCTAATATGTGATTTAATTATTTATACCTATATACTTATATGGATTATGATGTTTGCACCCCAGACTATCTCTCTGTTTCATTGTCTCCCCTAGTAAATTTAAAAAAATTTGTGTTCAAATATACTGTTAGGTTAGAAAAAATCCACAAGTGAACATTTTCTAGCAGACTTCTAGTACCCCAGATGTAATGCAAGAATCTATTTCTCTGTTTCTTAATCAAGCTGCCTGTCTTTTCAATACAAACACACCCACAGTCTCCTGGACATGATATACCCACTGGTACCTTCAGGTCCTTGCAATTCTTCCTGGATCCAGTGTCCTTGCACATCTTTGCTGGCAGGTTCTTTCCATAAGAAAATCTTTCTTGGGCTGGCGTTGTATTCTAGCAAAATTAAGCTTCTACCAGTAATGCCAGGTTAGAGACCTGGCTGGTCCAGTTCTAATCCAGCTCCCTGCTAATGAGCCTGGGTAGTTGGGCTCCTCTACCCGTGTATAAGAGACCCTGTAGCTACAGGTTCCTGGCTTCAGCGTGACTCAGCCCCAGCAGATGCAAGATGGAGCTTTCTGTGTCTCCTTGCCCTCTCTTTCTAGAATGTTTTCCCACTGCCTTATTTCTTCACCACTTAAGGATCAGTACAGTAGGCCTCACTATTCTCAGCCCCATCAGATTTGCAATCTCATCGGTAATTTGGCTTTCCCTTGCTGATCAGTGGGCTTCCTCCATTGACGTAGAAGGTGTTTCCATTTTGATTCCTCAGGCTTCAGCCTTGTTCATGGAACATGGCAGTGACACAGGCTATCAGAATCTCAGGTCAGTTTGTACATAAACCAAACTGTGAACAAATGAATTAAATAGATGGTGTTAGAATGTGTGAATGAGTCATTGAAGTCCGGGGGAGCAGCAGTGAGCTTATTAAGGAGGTAAAGCCAATCATAGCTAGTCAACATTCTCATCTTTCTTGTCTTTATGTTGTTCACATTGTTTTCATTCAATTTCTAAAATGGATTTACTTATTTATTCCAAAGCAGAGAGTCAGAGGAGGAGAGAGAAATCTATCCACTGACTCATTCCCTAAATGACAGCAATGGCTGGGACTTGGCCAGTCTGTAGCCGGCAGCCTGAGACTTCTTTGTCTCCCACAAGGGTATAGCAGCCCTATTATCTGTGCTGTTCTTATGTGGCCTTCCAAGGTGTATTAAGAGGGAAATGAATTTTTTAAAAGATTTATTATTTTTTTTCCTAAGGATATATATTCTTTAATATTCATTCTTTTTTTTTTTTACTGTTAATAACATTGTATTATGTGATACAGTTTTATAGGGACTGGGATTTCCCCCGCCCCTCCCACAACCCTCCCCCCATGATGGATTCCTTCACCTTGCTGCATAACCACAGTTCAAGTTCAGTTGAGATTCTTTCATTGCAAGCACATACCCAGCATAGAGTCCAGCATCTTATTTTCCAGATAAGTTTAACGGCTTCTTGGGGAGACCTTCTCTGGTCTGAAGGTAGAGCTAACAGAGTAAAATCCTGGTCAGTTAAAAGCCCCAACAAAACATCAGCAACAATATACAATGTTATAGAATTAATTGACATAGTATTGAGTAAACAATATGCTAAAAATAATGCAAGTTGAATTTTTCAAAACACATGTGTTGAGACATTATCAATGACAGGTTCAAAAAGAGAAAAAAAAAAAAGGAAATTACAGGTTAAATTAAGGCAAACATGTGGTATCTATTTTTATTGGAAAGGAAGAATCACAGAAAGAAAAGCAGAGAGAGAGAATCCATCCTCTGGTTCACTCCCCACGTGGCTGCAGCAGCCGCAGCTGAGCCAATCTGAAGCCAGGAAGCAACAGTTTCCTCTGGATCTCCCATGAGGCTTCAGATGCCCAAGGTCTTGGGCCAACTTCTGCTGCTTTCCTAGGCTATACTCAGGGAGTCAGATCCCAAGTGGAACAGCCAGGACGCATACCAGTGCCCAAACAGCATGCCAGTATTACAGATGGTGACCTCAGTCACTGCGCTCCCAGCAGCCCCAAGTTTCTATTAATTTTAAAAACAACCCAAAGAGGAAAAAAGCTCTGCGGATTTGAGTAACTGCTGCTTTCATATAAACACTGTCTTGAGATGCATGAATGGATGGTCTGACAGATAATTTGCCTCTTCTTGCTCAGATAATTAAGCTTATTCCGGAACAATACCCTATGTTTACTAGTGATGGTGGGTCTAGTTGCTGCAAAGGGACACATTGAACTTGGACCTTGGCTTGTTGTCAGCTCTGTCCTGCATTTTCTCCTGCCCACCCTTGGAAAGAAAAGCGATAGCCCAGTGCATGAATGCTTGCACACTTGGATGGTAAGAGACGTAAGCCTCCCAGAAAACTCCAGTATATAAAGTACTTAAAATGTGTGTGTGTGTGAGTGTGTGTGTGTGTGTGTGTGTGTGTGTGTGTGAGAGAGAGAGAGAGAGAGAGAGAGAAAATGCCTTCATCAAAAATCATCCCCATTTTGAAGTCTTCAGGTTTAAAAGAATCTTGAAAAATCCAATACAGCAGGCCCGGTGCGGTGGCGCAGTGGTTAAAGGTCCTCGCCTTGCATGCCCGGGATCCCATATGGGCGCCGGTTCTAATCCCGGCAGCCCCGCTTCCCTTCCAGCTCCCTGCCTGTGGCCCGGGAAGGCAGCAGAGGACAGCCCAAAGCTTTGGGAACCTGCACCCGCGTGGGAGACCCGGAAGAGGCTCCTGGCTTCGGATCGGCATAGTATCGGCCCGTTGCGGCTCACTTGGGGAGTGAATCATCGGACGGAAGATCTTCCTCTCTGTCTCTCCTCTCTGTATATCTGCCTTTCCAATAAAAAATAATAAAAATAAATATTTAAAAAAATCCAATACAGCAAGATGATTTTTAAAGTTAAAACACACCTATCAAGAGAAAATTTTTCAGAAACTGCATATTTCCTTGCCCTCTTGTGTTCCCAAGATGTGAATAGCCATGTTCCATTCAATGAGAGTCTTCTGTTATTTTTTTGAGTTTGTAGATGCCTTGAAATGTGCAGCTCGACTCATTCCTGAATAGCGAATTTTAGTTTAAAAAAAAAATGTGTCCTGACCATAGATTTTTGCCTCCAAATTTCCATGCTTTTTCTTTGCTAGATCACAGTGTAACTTTATGAAGAATGACTCATGATATTTTAAATTCATATTTATTTTGTTTTTCAGATGAAAACACATTGCATTTGGAGCTATGAGATTTTCTAGGGCCACTTTAATCAAAGCAGAAAGCCACTAGAAGGAGGACTCTGATCTGTTCTAACATGTAATTTTCAGCAACTGGGGCAGCTCCACACACACTCTGATCTCACTTGAGGGTCCCCCCAAGTCACTTCATTCTGCAATTTTCAAAAGACATTTGCACACATTATTCTTATTTGATATTTAATACATCAATCAGTTCACCAGGGGACACATGAATTTTCTGACACCTCGAATAATTGATAGCATTCAGAAAAGTAATCAAATGTGATGGAATAAGAGCTGTGAACTAGAGTTCTAGTGAAAGCTGTGTGGATTTCATTCAGAAGCTCTTTATTCTTATTTCATTCTATAATTCCAAAAAAAAATTTGACAACCTGTCATGGAAAATTAAAAGATGCCAAGGTCAGCACAAGAGGTGAAAACAGTTTCAAGTATCAGAAATTCCAAAGAGAATCCAACAGAACAACCAGATATCAAAATGCAAAAACATTGATCTGATTCTGCCTGACATGGAATTCACACACACATGTGTACATTAATTAGCCCTGAGATCATCCCCTCCTAGCAGCACAGCATGAAACTGATGAAATGAGGGCCTGGAGTCTTCAAGAAATGTGCCATGATGTGTGGCATCTTCTGTTTCAGAGGGCAGTGAATCAAATAGCATTTTAGTAGATGATGAGCATTGCAAAAATATACCAGATCAGACCAGAAATGGTCTCCCCAAGAAAGCGTTGAATTTACCTGGACAATAAAATGCTGGACTCTATGCTTGGTATACTCTTGCAATGAAAGAATCTTGACTGAATTTGAAATGTAATACAGCAACAAGGTGGAAAAATCCACCATGGGGGAAGGGCACCATGGGGGAAGGGCATCATGGGGGAAGGGTACGGGGAAGGGTTGGGGGAATCCCAGAGCCTATGAAACTGTATCACATAATGCAATGCAATTAATTTAAAAATGCATATATTAAAAAATTAAATAAAAAATAAAATTAAAAAGGTGTAAGACATCAGGTACTTTCTGAGTAATATGGCAGAAGTGAAGGTGGTTTCATTGATTGCTGTGTTTTTTCTAGTCATTCAGGCAGCTGTCTCTTCTGGGTAGATCAGTGGAGAAGAGCATCTGATGAGAGGGCCTGTTCTGGGGAAGAGCGAAAACCCAGCCAGGAGCAGCAGCCAAGAGGAGGCAGGGTGGCTCTCACAGTTTTCATACCGGTTTTTGGGTTATCACCTTGTTTGAACAAGAACAAACCCACCCCTCCAAAACAGGCAAGGACCAGGAGGGATTATGAAAAATATAAATGCTTGAAGAGTGTGTTTCAGCTGTTTGAGAACCCCGAATGTTACCTCTAGTGAGTGGCATTTGAAAGAATTATTGATTATATCATGCAATTCAGGTCTGTTCTGGACTTTTATGCCTTCCTTTACTGATCATGCCAACCTATGGTTCATAACTGATACTGAAATGAATAGCTGGCTGACACCTATGAAATGTGATCTGTCACATAGCATGACGGGAGGAGTGGATGTTACTGACTCACGAGCTCTTTCACATACTTCCTGAGAGTTTACTCAGTTTGTTCATTGTGTATGTGCAGAAATGCACAGTGAACAAGCCTTTTCAGAGATGCTATTTCAGAAAGACAGTTCATGTTTTAAGGTCCGGTATCAACTAAGAACGTCTGCCTGCTTGTGTCTCTTCCAGCGGAGGATAACAGTCTGTCGCAGAAGAAGAAGGTCACGGTGGAGGACCTCTTCAGTGAAGATTTCAAGATCCACGATCCTGAGGCCAAGTGGATAAGCGGTGAGTGTGCGTGAGACGCAGTGTCCGCCCTGCCTGACTCTTTCTGATGAATGGGGCATGGGCCTCGCCTCTCACATTCTGTCCTTGGCTCGTGAAAGAGATCCACGGAGCCTTCTCTGTGATCATCCAAATTTCATCACACTAAGAGAATACATACCTGGTCACAATAGCTAAATAAGAAAGCAGGGGTCCCCTGTGTAGTGCTGCCTTACTGGCACCAGCTCAGCCTTTACTCCGTGAGAAATGGGTCTGCTGAGAAGACTGCCTCTGTGTGTGTGTCGCCTCTTCTGGTCGTTATTTCTCAGGCAAGGATGGGAGTGTTGCTAGGCAACAGGGGAGGTGAAAAGGTTCAGCTGAGCATCCTTTCCTTTGCCACATTCTCTCTTCCCTTTCGGCTCCTGCTTTCTCAGAGGTGAAGAACCAAAAGTATCCAATAGAATTCCTGGAGGAATGGGGGGGTGGAGAGGGAGGGGAGGCAGAGTGCACAGAGGTAAATAAACTCATCTCCCTGGGGCTTTAGTCAATATGTAGTCTAGTTGTCCTGTCTAGGAGATTTTTTTTTTAAGACTTATTTATTTATTTAAAGAGAGAATAACAGAGAAAAAGAAATGGGGCAAGAGAGAAAGAAGGAAATAGAGCAGAGAGCCAAAGAGAGAGAGAAAGAGCCAGAGAGAGATTCCATCTGCTGGATCACTCCCTGAACCACTACAACAACAGCACAGAGTGAGCCAGGCTGCATCCAGGAGCCCAAATGCAGATCTCCCACGTGTGTGTCCAGGTCCCAGGTACTTGCACCATCCTCTGCTGTATTTCCAGACCTGGTGGAAAGAAGCAGAATTGAAAGTTGAGCATCTCGCACTTGAACATACAATCTTTGATAATGGGATGTGGGTGTCCCAAGGATCCCAGGTGTCCCAGGTGGTGAACCCACTAAACCAAAGGGGAAAAAAAAGAAAGACAAAGAAAACAACAACAATAACAAAAGTACACACGGAAGCAGCCGCAGGGGACTTTTTAGAAAACAAAAAGTAATAGAACTGGGGCATAAGGCAGTATGTTCATAATTATTTTTTTTGGTTGGAAAAATGGTCTATTTCACCTAACTGAGTCTGAAAACATGAGCGCACTTACAGGGTCAAAGGGCCATTTCTGTGCAGCTGGCTCCTCCAGGCTGGATTGCATCCATTGGAGCTGCTGGTACCTCCTACAGAACGCACTGGAAGTGAATCCACAGGTCACAGATCAGTCATTGTTAAATGCCTGAAATTCCATTCAAATCCCTGAGCTTAGAACCAGTCAAGGCCAGGGGTTACCCACTTCTGCTTAGGCCACCGAGCTGCCTGGTGATATAACTGGGCTGAGGCCTGTTGCCTTACTTAAAGTGCTTGCCCCCCACCCCCGCCAGAGTTTGAATGAATGACACAGAATCCTCATGTTTTTGTTGTCAAATTGCCTCAGAGGTGCCTTCCAGGCTTCACAAACTCTCAAAAATAAATGAACAATGACCTTGTCCTTAGTACTAAGTCCTTAGTAAGTAGGACTTTGTTGTACTTCATGGCGTCTCTTTCTCCTTTAGTGCAATGTCAGTATTGGGCTCTGACCCAAGCTCATGCTCGGTGAACAATAAGAGAAGTATTCTTGGAGGAAATGTAATGCTTAAGATAAAGCAGATACAAGAACAGCATGTTAAAAACACCAGCAGAGGGCACACAGCAAACTAAAACATGCAGCAAAGGTCTTTTTGTTGATTGAGGAGTTGATATTTACCTTTGATTCTGAGGTGTTCTCAATCTGTGTGTGTTTACCCATCGTAGTCATGTTAGGAAAACAAAGCAGTGAATAACCCTTGGAAATCCAGCTGTGCAAGGTGCAGGGAGGAGGAATCTGCATTGCTTATTCTTCCCAAGGGGGCATTTCAAAGACAGTGTAAACCTACAAATGCTGCTTGAATGGTATGAACAGAAGTATGCCTAAGACAAAGGCTGGATATCTGAAACAATGCCAGTCAAAATTGTTGCCATGCCAACTTCTGATTAGGAGAATGAAAGGAGAACTCAGAAACAATATCCAGGGATAAAAACATAATGATGTAATAGGACTGGACATGAAAGAAAAGAAAAGGTAGGAGGCAGATTGAAACAGCCAAGGAAGGAATCACTGTTGTCTTCTAAGAACTTTATCTATGAAATGTTTGTAATCTATCCTCCTTGTATTCATGCATTTTTAAAAAACAGATAAAAGAAAAGCAAAAAGAAGCAAAGAGTGAGTGGATAAAAAGTGAACAAGCAAAGCACAAAATGTAACATTCTAAAAAATAATAATAAAGATGGAAGCTTCTGTAAAAATCTGTGTTTGCTAGTAGGCCAAGTTTGTGTTTCATGAATAAGTGAACCTAGACCCCGAGGTACACTGGCTCTTTATAAAAGAAAACCATCCAGAATTTGTTTACATCCATGTCATCAGGAATTAACGCAAGCAATCAAAGTGTGGCCAGGTGGGTAACACACAATGCCCAGCCTTCCTTTTCTGGCATTTTGGATCTATTCATAATCAGCCCTGTGAGTTTGAGTGGACAAGGAGTTGTTCCACTCTTATTGAACAGCTTCCTTAGAGAATTCCTCTTCTGCAGATGTGCACAATGAATGTGCAGTTGAGCTAAGAAGGAACCAGATGGTCACTCTTCCCTGATGACCGTTGGGAGGGTGCTGGGAGTTCCTGGTCCCCTCTGTTATTGTTCCGTATCCTTCTTCTATGGGTTAACTTTGCTCTCTAAAGATGTACTGCTGTGAGGGAATGAATAACTTTGAAATAATTAACCGAGTCGTTGCGCTTGCATTTAACAAATACCATCAAGATTTTACTTTTTCAAATACGAGTCTAAAGCTTAATATCTAGAAAGAAATTACTAGAAATTTATAAGATTGTCTCATGTTGTAGAACTGAGATGAACTGTAGCCATTGTTAGAACATCACCCATTCGCTAAAAGTTCATGGACCTCATGCGGCAGGCTGATTGCTGTGCCCAGAGGTAGTGATTTATCCGGGACACTGATTTGTAAAAGCAGACACGGGACTTGCCGTCAGCCACCACCACTGACACTACAAGCACCACAATTTCCCCCTCATTCCATTTTTTTTCATGATCATCTCGTATTGTTATCATATCATATTGTTATCATATTATCATCATCACTCTCTCATCATCAAGAACATGTTATTATCAGGACCACATCACCCTGGTAACACCATTGTTAGCGTCATCATCATTATCACCATCATCACCAGTGTCTAATGAATGTTTATCCTGCCTTAAGCTCTCTGCTAAAGGATTTATATGTAATGGGTGATTTAATTCTGAGAACTGTATTGTTCTTAAAGACGAGGAAACTGAGGTTCAGATAACTTGATGAATACCGTATGATATGTAGCAAAATTTACACTTGAACCAAGTTTTCTATTGTTTTTGAAACACTAAGTTAAATGGATAAAATTCAGGTCTCTCCTATCTCTATTCAATTTCTTTGGCAACTTTACTGGCTATACTGTATGCGTTACACAAGATTTTAGTTTGTGAGTATCTCGAAACATTGTCATTTTGAAGTTCTGTATCCTACCATCCATTATTCCCACTATGCCTCGACAGCAAAGCAGCAAAATTCTTAGGTGATAGAGCAAAACTTGATGTTTTACGTACACATTATCCATTCAAGTCATCAAAAATTATTTTGATTCCATAATATACTTAAAATGCTGGCACTAACACAATTTGCTTATTAGGAGGGACTCTCCTTGCTCCATTTTGTACCATAGATTTGATTCTGAATCTCTCTTCTGAAAATGATTAATACCCTTTAAATTATCTAATATCCAAAAGCACCTTTAGACACTGTGCATGTGCTTGTCACAATGTGCAAATACTACAGTGTGCAGATGCACTAAGCTGTTTGAACTGTGCTCGTAAACTCCTAAAGTTCACGTGCACAGCACTGACTCACCCTTCCCAACCTACCTCTTGACTCTGTGGTTCCTCACTGCCTCGGAAATGAAGCACACAACTCTGGCCTCCCAGATCATCCATTTTTTCATATTCTTCAGGTACTCTCCACTTTTTAGGTCTTATTTTTTGACTGGCATCCCTTTGCCTTCACCTACCTTTTGATCATTACAAAAGCCTCGTTCTTGAGAGTAGTTCTTAGATGTCATATTTCTTCTGCTCGAGCATTTTCTGTGTTGTTCGTTTATGACCTCTCCTCACCACTAACCCCACGCACACCGCTTTTCTTGTCAATTGTTCCCTAGTTACTGCTTCTCATGCAGGCCCCTCTGTACTCCATAGAACTCAGAGAGCTCATGTACATTGGACTTGCCCTTTCGGCACGCCTATGAAGTCTAATTATTTAGTCATTGTCCAACGTTCCTTCCAGTTGGAAATGCCACAAGGATAAGATTCACAACCATTTCTTTACCATAATATCCCCGAACACCAGAAAAGTACCAGACACATGGTACATGCTAGTACTTCGAAACATTTTCTCCTTTCATGACTAAACAACCTAGTTTTAGAGGTAGGAAACATAGAAACAGTATTTCACACAAAATGGTTGGAAGTGCTTTGTAATGAGGGTGAGTTTGAATGTGAAAATTGTGCACACAAGCTCTCTGTGGAAAGGCATTCTGTATAACGTGGAAGAGCATATCTCATGGACTTGCTCCTTAGCGTATTCAACAGCGAAGGTGAAGGTTGGAAAGAAAACAATAGATGAGCCAGAGTGTTTGCTCAGAGTGATTGTTCAGGTTTTTAGAAGATGAGAGTAGGCAATTGAGCAGGAGATAGAGCTTAGAGAAACCAAGAAATTGGATTTGACCTAATAACCCTGAAAGTTTCAGAAACATCATGGAATGTTATAAGCTTAAGTATGTATTGCACATTAGTTATTTGCTATTATCATATCGATGATTTGTTATAATAAGTTAGAAATTACAGAAAAACATTGTTTTGA